GTGAGCCCGCTGCTCATCGTCGGCCTCTTCCTCTTCTACCTGAGCGACTACATCCTCTCGGGCACCCTGCAGTACCAAGCCTGGGACGCCACCCAGGTACCTGTCTCCGCCCAGGAGCTGTGCTGCGGTGGGGAGGTCACAGTGAAACTGAGACCGTGTCTCAGCCCGGACTGTCGAGCTGCGTGGGCCGCAGTGACGAGACCACGGCAGCCCTGCAGAGCTTGCTGTGACTTGCCTGCATGCTGGGAAACTGTGCCTCGGGTCGGGCACTGCTCCTCAGAGCAGGATGGGTGGACGCGGAGCATTTCCACAGCCACCCGAAGCGCTAGTCTGGGAAACGGGTGGCCTTGCACTTAGGGACCCTGAACAGTGCCTCGGAGTGAGGCGCCAGTCACTCCTGGGGTTGTCATGGGCAGCTCCAACATGAGCTTCCCCCCACGGTCCCCACCACGCTGGGGGCTGAGGGCTGGCCACTGCACTCGGGTGTGGCCGGAGGGTCCCTCCCCTGACACTCTCTCTGTCCTCCAGGGCCGGCTGGTGACCAAGGACTACCCCACCTATGCCCTGGCTGTCATCGGCCTGCTCGTGGCCTCCTCCACCATGTGCATCCCCCTGGTGGCCCTGGGGACTTTCGTCATTCGTCGCCTTAGGAAAGGAGGCCGGGCCTCCGTGGCCTAAGAACTGGACCTCGCGGAGCCTGCGGTCAGCCACCCGCCTTCTTCCACTATGGCCTGCTTGGCTGCTTTTTTTAAATTATTTAAGCTGAAGTACTGTGCTGCTCTGCATCTGTGAAGATGAGTCACACTGAATGCCTCTGAGCAGCTGACAACAGAACTTTGCTCACACACGCGCGCGCCTCTAGACTCACCTTCCTCCCCTACGATTTACATTTTTGGTGCTACAATTTAATGTGGCTACAGTTATTTTTGATCACTCTTTCCACAGTAGAGATCTGAAAGATCTACACACTATCATTAGAGTAATGGGGTATGCTGAATTTGACTTCAAATGTGTTTACTTCTACCAGTTTATGCTTTCATGTATTTTTCTGATGCTAAGTACTGTCCTTTCAATTCCTTTAAGCAATTCTAGTAAGGCCTCATGACCATGCCCTCCTTCTGCTTTTGCTTATTTCTTTTCTTTCTCGAGGGGTACCGGGAATCGAACTCAGGACCTTGCACTTGGCAGGCAGGCGTTAGTGCCGCTGAGCTATATCCCCTTATTCCTTTATTTCTGAAGTGCAGCTTTGCTGGGAATAGTATTCTTGGCGAGTAGGGTTTTTTTCTTTCAGCACTTTTGGATGAAACAAAGACCTCAAGGTGGGAAAGCAAAACCATGTGAAAAGGTAGCCCTTGGAGGTGAGCAATGCGGGCTCACAGTGTAGCACAAATGTGCCAGGAGACCCCCAAGGTTAGGCCTCTCTTGCATCAGTTCACCCAGAAGAAAAGGACACAACTACAAACAGGGAGAAGATATATGTGGTACAAATAACCAACAAAGGATTAGTCTCCAGAATATAAAGAATTTCAACAAATGGATAAGGACATTCTAACAGGCAGGCAAGAGGCCTCATCGGGCACAGGAAAGGAAACAGAGCCAGAAAGAAAGCAACACTACGAAAAGATGCTTGATCTTGTCGGTGATTAAGGAGAATGCCAGAAGGAGAAGCTTGGGGGATTAAAAGAGTCACAAGTCCCCGGAAGGAGGGCTTCCAGCCCACAGGGAGCCAAGGGTGGGGAGCGCCGGTCTTCCGGCTGGCTAGCTTCCTGCCTCCTAGCTCCCAGAGGGAGGGCCCCCGGCGCATGGGGAGCCATGCAGCGGCGAGC